CACGGCTGCAACTCACACCGCCACACAGAGAAGGCGAATACAAAGATCACTCTTCCCTTTGTAAAGTCTTTGGAGGCAGATTTCTTCGCGAGCACTGCACTGATCGAAGAAATCCACAACAGAGAGCGATCACACGGCGCCAAGGAGCACAATGGTGCAACACTTGCCCAAAAACTCGGGCAAAATACCACGAAAAATTGGCAGGAATCACGGAGCAAAAATTCCACCTCCAAGCCACTCCAACTCTCAACAAGTGAGAGTTGTGGTCAAGAAATGCCTCCGTTTGGTTTACGGAAGAGTTTCTCGTAATACCTGAAACCGGTTCAAAATTCCATGATGCACTCGAGGGAGAAAAGTAGTGCAATAAAACATCTGTTTTACAGAAAATAGGCAGAGAAAATGCAAAGTATGAAAAAAGGGTCATAAAACAAGGCTCGGGTGTCGGGATGAAGCAATGTTGGGAAATTCCTTCACTAAAACTCATCTGAGTTGTCGATTTAGTTGAGTTCTGGTCGTGGTTGAATGCAGAACGTGTGCAGAGTGCAGTTCTTCATCGGATAATAAGGTGAGAAAAATTGCATTTATTTAAGTACATTTTGGTGAATTTTCAAAATGAGCATTGATTATGCTGTTGTAAAATAAATTGAGAGAAAATTTGATCTAAATTCTGCGCATATAAACAGTAAAATTTAATAATTTTATCGTTTTTCAGATGGACAATGAAGCCGCGGGAAATTTCACGGAATCCGGGATAAGATGACGCCGGAGAGTGCTAAAGGTGGCCAGATTCAGCATAATCAACATTGCCGTTTGGACAAAAATATATATTTTAATTGTATTGGATTCCATACAAGAAATAAATACGAAATTGCTCTACATCTACGTGTAAACATAAAAACCAATATATTTTTACATATAAAAATTTCTTTTATTCGAATTACTAAATTTGTTTCCTGTGGTAAGTATGAAAATTATTTCTTGCACTAGTAACGAAACGCTTTCCTGAAATGTATCGGAGGGCAATTAGCCTTTTTTTGTTCGATGTTTATTGGCCCAGCCTTCCGCGCCCGAGGCGTAGGGACGATAAATAAAGGGATGATTTACCTACCTACATTTCAGGAATCCGTTTTTCGTCAAGGTAAAGTGAAACGCATCCAATGTAAATTCCCCATGAAGCGTTTGGGTCGCAATCAGTATTCTGCATTGAACCTATACAGTAGCGTGTGGAACCGCACCTGGGTTATGCATTATAAGTGTCGCCAGTTGCGGTTCCACACGCTACGTATAGGTTTCAAGAAACGGATACTCATCGGTAGTGGATGTGAAACCGTTGCGGATTTGTTTCCTGTTCTGTCTCTGAGGGCAATCGGAGAGCAATAATACCTTATTGCCCTCCGACTATGAACATGATGCAAATGAGAAAGGTTTCAGTTTCTGATTCCCAACAAGAAATGCTTTCGTTCTTGTTTCACAGATCAAACATGTATAGAATAAGCCATATGGTGTCCCTAAATTTTATGGCCCACAGAAATTTCAGACCTCTCAGACCCTCATAAAATTTACCCAATTTTCGGCACTCTACCTGATTGCCCTCAGAGGAGAAACGAGTAAGACCAAGTATTCTTACTATTTCCGAATGTGGTCAAGAAATGCCTCCGTTTGGTTTACGGAAGAGTTTCTCGTAATACCTGAAACCGGTTCAAAATTCCATGATGCGCTCGAGGGAGAAAAGTAGTGCAATAAAACATCTGTTTTACAGAAAATAGGCAGAGAAAATGCAAAGTATGAAAAAAGGGTCATAAAACAAGGCTCGGGTGTCGGGATGAAGCAATGTTGGGAAATTCCTTCACTAAAACTCATCTGAGTTGTCGATTTAGTTGAGTTCTGGTCGTGGTTGAATGCAGAACGAGCAGAGTGCAGTTCTTCATCGGATAATAAGGTGAGAAAAATTGCATTTATTTAAGTACATTTTGGTGAATTTTCAAAATGTGCATTGATTATGCTGTTGTAAAATAAATTGAGAGAAAATTTGATCTAAATTCTGCGCGTATAAACAGTAAAATTTAATAATTTTATCGTTTTTCAGATGGACAATGAAGCCGCGGGAAATTTCACGGAATCCGGGATAAGATGACGCCGGAGAGTGCTAAAGGTGGCCAGATTCAGCATAATCAACACTGCCGTTTGGACAAAAATATATATTTTAATTGTATTGGATTCCATACAAGAAATAAATACGAAATTGCTTCCAGAAATAACTACGAAATTATTTCTTGCAATAGGAATGAAAATATTTCTTGATTGAATTACGAAATTGTTTCCTGTAGTAAGTATGAAATTATTTCTTGCACTAGTAACGAAACGATTTCTTGAAATGTCTCGGAGGGCAATTATCCTTTTTTTTTGTTCGAGGTTTATTGCCCTCCGCGCCCGAGCGTAGGGGCAATAAAAAAAAGGGATGATTACCTACCGAGACATTTCAGGAAATCGTTTCGTCGAGGTAAAAGTGAAACGCATCCAATGTAAATTCCCCATAAGCGTTATGGGTCGGAAACAGTTTCTTGAAACCAATACGTAGCGTGTGGAACCGCAACTGGGGTCACATGCACTTTTGATGGAGAGAAATTTGGAGGGAAAGAAGTGAAAATTGTAAAGAGAAAAGTAGTGGAAAATTGTAAGAAGTCGGTGAGGAAAATTTGTAAAACGGGAGTTTATTAGTAAATTTAGTTGTTGGAAGGAAAAAGAGAAGCGGAAGCAGAGTTTCTAGTGAATTAAATCCAATTAATCAAGCACACGTGGAGTTTTCATTGTGGAGTGCGCATTGTGGCAGAGTTCATCGGCATCAGTAAGCAGTCAACATCGGCCTTCTACGAGCGGCGTGCTTTCGAGCAGGATCGTGGACATTAACATCATTTATTTGCCTATTACAGGTACGGACAGTAACAATATCAATGGCCAAACTGCCCACCAATCTCGAGGAGAATACAACAGTGGAATAAGGATTTCTCCCCCGGAGTGTGTTTGGTGTTTACCCACTGCACCGAACTTTGCAACAGAACGATTGCGCTATTGCCCAGTTGCGGTTCCACACGCTACGTATAGGTTTCAAGAAACTGTTTCCGACCCATAACGCTTATGGGGAATTTACATTGGATGCGTTTCACTTTTACCTCGACGAAACAATTTCCTGAAATGTCTCGGTAGGTAATCATCCCTTTTTTTATTGCCCCTACGCTCGGGCGCGGAGGGCAATAAACCTCGAACAAAAAAAAAAGGATAATTGCCCTCCGAGACATTTCAGGAAAGCGTTTCGTTACTAGTGCAAGAAATAATTTCATACTTACTACAGGAAACAATTTCGTAATTCTATCAAGAAATATTTTCATTCCTATTGCAAGAAATAATTTCGTAGTTATTTCCTGAAACAATTTCGTAGTTCCATCAAGAAATTTTTTCGTTTCTATTGCAAGAAAGAATTTCATACTTACTACAGGAAACAATTTCGTAGTTATAACAAGAAATGTTTTCGTTTCGATTGCAAGAAAGAATTTCGTAGTTATTTCTGGAAACAATTTCGTATTTATTTTCAGAAAGATTTTCGTTTTGAATTCAAGAAATATTTTTGTATTTAATACAGGAAAGAATTTCATAGTTACTTCAAGAAAGATTTACGTTTTGATTAAAGAAAGATTTTCAACAATTTCGTTTCCAATTGAAATAACAATTTCTCAATGAACAATGAAGGATTTCAATTAGTTTTAGATCACTACTAATTGAAATAGAAATATATCATGATCAAATATTTATTAACATTTTTTCGAATCATCTTTTTTTCCCAGAAAAAAATAAATTACCATATTATATCGACGATGAATATTGCAAAAGCTGATTTACCTTTAATAGACTTTTATTTAGACCTTTAATATAAAAAAAATTGTTTAGGCTTTCAATTTACATTGATATTTTTTTTTTATATTAACCTACATTATTTTATTTTCTCATTACAAAACAATAATGTTGTATTTCTCCTTAAATATATTTTAATTAAAAATAGAACTTAATTTTAAGTTATTGATTTAGTCTTAACTATTCCGCATGCAAAAATATGCTCTGATTGACTTCCTGCATTGAATTAAACCGCTCTTCTCAAGAAAAAAATACTAATTTATAATTTCTTCTTCGCGCGACATTTTCTCACATTATTCAGTACATGCGCTGTCGCTATTTGCTTCACAATACTTGAATTAAAGGCTTGTTTATCTTTGAATTCATCTTTCCAAGCCTCATAAAGTATTTTATATAATTTCAGGGTCTGAAAGGATTTCTTCCCCTTCACGCCTGCAAAATTGTAATTCTCGATCAAATCGGAAGTGAGAATTCGAGAAAGGCCACTGCTGGATAAATTTTTTTCCAGTGGCATATATGCTTTAAATACCTTTATGTATAACTCGGCCTTCTGGCCGAGTTCTTTTTCAAGTTTTTCCAGTTCCATTTCCGATTTGATCGGGAACCTGAGGGACACCTTAATGTTAGAATTCACATTTACATCCACCTTTTCTAGAATCTTGTTTAACTGATCATGAATCATTTGGATGTGAACGTTCATATTCACAACAAGTTTCGCCATCTTCACCATGGCAGGTGCCATCTCCGCCGCCTCAGCTTCCGTGAAACTCACGAAAGCGGGCGGCAACACGGGAATCGGACTTGGAGAATCTGAAAAATTAGATAATTAAAATCTAAATAATTTTTACAAATTATCATCAGTAAAATTACCATGTCTCTCGAATAACTCCTGGGAATCATCCTCATCAGAATGGCTTCCTTCATTCTGCAGTATCTCGTTCGCCTTCTCGCTTCTGTTCTTGGTCCGCTTCTCGCTCATCTCCTCGCTTCTGAAATTGTAAAAAGCAAATATGAGACATTTTTTCAAGTAACGTATTTAACTAACTTTATTTCATCATATGTTTTAAGAACAGAATTTTATAATCTACCTGAAGCTATTTGTCGAGAAGCGGGGTCAGAACAATTCTTTCGGCGTAGGGTAAACAAATATATTTAAATTTAATTTCAGATGCCAAAATTTCACAAGGATTTCCCTCTGTTATGTTTAATAAAACAATTCCAATCACTGTTGAATCAAGAGGTTCTGTGAAAAGTGGTTGAGCACTGTGGAAGCGGAGTCCTTTAACTGAATTGTTGTTTATTGCAAGAACTTTTAAAATTGTGCCGTCTTTTAGTTTAAAATAGGCATCTCTGTCTCTCATGCTGATTTTGAAGCCTCCTGTGCAATCTTTCTCCTTTGCATCAGGATGTTTCCAATTGCGTCCAACCATATTTGCAATTTGCTCTAATATTTGAGATGGCTTTTTTGCATACTGAGTAATCTGATAATTAAAATTTTCGTATTTATACGCGCTGAACTTATAAAGTGGTCCAAAATTTTTTACATGTTGCGCCAAGTGCAGAAGGCAGTGCACATTGTGGACTCGTTGATTTTCGCCATAGAATGTTGAGAATTTTTTAACGAATTGTTTTAAATATTCATCAGCGAGATTAATGCATTCTGCGGTAGCATTGTTAGAATTAAGAATTCGTATACCCACAGAAAAGTATAAAAAATGTTTATATTGCTCATTACTCAGAAATTGTTTAAGAACAACTTGACCTGTGTGGAGAAGAAAAGTTCGATACTCTACTGCCTTGAAATCCTTTAGATTTTTTAGAGCGCGAGTGCGTCTTCCTGTAAATTCAGATGGCAATGTGCTCGCAAGAGACGCGTATTGTTCAGAAAAAACCTCTCTTTGCTCTTTAGGTAACTGTTCTACTATACAATTAAGAACTCTTTTCATAACACCTAGATCAACAACATGCATAGCATCTATAGGGAAGTCTTTAGCCAAATTTATATTTAAGTTTTCAACAGGAAGTCTCTTGTCAACAAAATTCTTCTTGTGAAATTCCTTATTTTTTCGCAATCTGAAATCTTCGTCTGTTCTAGGCTTTGCGGCAGAAGGACTAAAAACCATTGTATGTCTATTACGATAACCCTTCTGCTCACAATCGTGACATCCATAGAAAGAGTTATGACCCTTTGTTCCCTTGATGTGATTTTTTGCCTCGCCATCGCAAGTAAATAGGCGTATTTTAACAAATTTTTGGGAACCATCAACAGTTAGACCATTTTCTTCTAGGTGATTGGCTTCTTCTGCAAATTTGAGCAAGAATTGTTCTACTGGTGGTTTCTCATTACCTGTAATTGTGATATATAAATTTTCACCAGTTCAATATTCAAATATTTATCTTAATCTTCCCGCTGAAGATTCCACTGTTATAGATATGTTAAATCCATAGTTAATTATTATCTCTAAAAATTGAAGTGATTGTTTATGATCAAGCTTTTACAGCACTCACACTTTATTTCTGGGGCGCCATGCCAATCGGTCATTGGGAGATGCCATCTGAGTTCTAGCAGTTGGTGGAAAGCCCAATCCCCAAAAGCCCACAGGAGTCTCAAATGGTTTTTTAGCCGGTTGGAGATGATGTGAAGGATTGTCCACTTCAGAACGTGATTCCAATTCATCGCAGTATGTCTCATCGAGGACATCGATAAAACTATTTTCTGAGGACATATTGTACGATGCGATTTCTGTGGGTGCCTAAAAAAATATTGGTTAAAGTTGCTGCTGCTTAAAACAAATCAGCATTTAAAAAATTCGCTCTGTCTCTAATCATCTCTTGTGTTTAGAGTGCGGAAAAGAAATGTAATAAAGTACAATCACTCCCCCTTCGATATTCTAAAATGTCCCACTGAGGATATGCTGCTGAACCTCTCAGACCCGATATAATCCCATTAAATATGCTTTTTATATTAAAAAAATACGTCTGATTTATATGACGTGAAAACTGGTTGTAATAGTAAAACTTGTGGAATCTTCACTGGGAGAAAATACATGATGATAACTTTTCAAAATATCTTACCCAAATATGCTCCAATAATAAATGGAGAACTCTCAATTCCTACCACGGTTCCCAATATCGGCCAAACGACTTTAGAACTGCTTTCAAATAATTTCACTCCATCCGTGTTTATATCAATTTTGAAGGACTCATCAACAAAAATATGTTGATAAGGATAATTCTCAAAAACGTGTCGAATCTGTTGTTCAAGTCCTATGTGAAGATATTGTCCCGGTTCCATCTTGGCGATATCATATTCAATATTCAGTTTCCCAATGAGGCCGTCTTTTGTTCCCGGCATCGGGCAACCGTAATTTTGAAGCATAGCCAGAATTTCATTCGTCACTAAACGCCCCAACTTGTATTTCACAACGATTTTTGCAAAGGTGCTCTTCATCAATAAATCTTTGTCTTCTTCTTCTGGGAAGCCGATAGAAGTTTCCATATCTTCATTGGGACCAATCGTATAAATTGACGGGGCCTCCGCCAAGGAGGATGTCCCCTGCAAAACTTCCGAGGTGTTAGCGACTGACGAAATTGGCTCTTTTTGCTTCTCTACAATTTCAAGCACAGTTGATTTCGCGTCTTTCGCGTATCTTGCCGAAATTCCCTTAGCAGTGAGGCCCCCAAAAATTTGTTTGTACATCTTGCGACGCATGTATTTTATTTGATTTGGGGTTTTGAAACTGTTTTTTGGCATTGTAATGGGCGGTATTCTCACACTATGGTAAGGATCAAAGAACGTCTCGAAATTCCTAGAAGAAGAGTTTTGGGATTGAAATTTATCCCCATCTAGAGGAATTGTGCAGTCTCGAATTGCACAATAACAAGAAGAATTTGGCCATTTGCGCCACTCACAAAAACACTGATACCCCCAGAAAAACGCAGCATGCATTTAACAGTAGATTAATAGAAAATATCACTCACCTTTTTATGCTGAAAACACTTTGATGAACTTCACTGCACAACACTCTGAGCTGGACTGACGATTTTCTTCTTGAGGGTACTAAAAACTCATTTTTGGGATTTTTAGGATTTAAATGAGGGAATTTCCCAACATTACCATGTTTCGGCCCGAGCCCTATTTTATGACACTTTTTCTTAATTTGCATTTCTTCCGCCTATTTTCTGCAGAACAGATGTTTTATTGCACTACTCTTCTCCCTCGAGCGCATTATGACAAACATTTTAACCATTTTCAGATATACAAAACAATTAACAATGTATTTTTCATATGAATTTATAAAGAAGATTTTCCATTTTATCAGATTAATGGAGCATCCGTGACGAAAATTTGTAAATCATCTAATGTGAGATTTTAAAACAGAAAATCTTTTTGATACGAAAACCAAACTCTTCCGTAAAGCAAAGAGAGGCATTTCTTGAACACATTAAAAAATCTTAACATTACTCGTTTCTCCTCTGAGGGCAATCAGGTAGAGTGCCGAAAATTGGGTAAATTTTATGAGGGTCTGAGAGGTCTGAAATTTCTGTGGGCCATAAAATTTAGGGACACCATATGGCTTATTCTATACATGTTTGATCTGTGAAACAAGAACGAAAGCATTTCTTGTTGGGAATCAGAAACTGAAACCTTTCTCATTTGCATCATGTTCATAGTCGGAGGGCAATAAGGTATTATTGCTCTCCGTTTGCCCTCAGAGACAGAACAGGAAACAAGTCCGCAACGGTTTCACATCCACTACCGATGAGTATCCGTTTCTTGAAACCTATACGTAGCGTGTGGAACCGCAACTGGGTTAGTACTAATACCCATGGAAAATAGACAGTGAATAAACGTCAATGAAAGAAGTTCACATTTTTTCTGCTCTTAACAGATTGAGATTTTTCTAAGTTTTCTTGAGTCATGAAAGTTGTGCTGTGGTGAAGAAGGTGAGCCCTGGATTCACAGTGTTGAGTGGTCTGGAGTTCTCAAAACTCAAAAGACCCACTGAGTGATTTGAGCGTCAATTGCGATTTCAAAAAAGTGTGCAAGAGTGAACGCATGGTGGATTCATCACCCACCTGGATCATCTGTACCTTCAAGATTCATTCAGCATCACTGCCAACACTTGGAACTTCATCTTCAGGATTAACAGCCTCAGCTGTCTAATCTCTGGACACCGTTTGGTGGCGCTACTTTAATCATAAACGCTTACGGATTACTTGCACCCAACCACACGGCATTGTCCGCGAATTTGTTCCTTCGTGGCCAGATAGGCTCTTATTGAATATTCTACATTTTACAGGTGTGTAGAAAAAGCAACTGCCATTCAGTAAGCGGACAAGGGAATATCAATCTAATTATTTGTCTGCATTTTCATAGGTTAGTAACCTACATTTTGAATGAAAGAAAAATTTCTATTGAAATATTCAATATCCCCCACAAATTGCGCTAAAAGTTTCGTATCAATTGCGAATACTCACATCCTCCTCTGACGATTGCACTGTCCAACTTAGAGTTCTCTTCTCCAAATGCTAAGGAAAAAGTAATGGATTTCTAAAACTAACCTGTTATAAAGTAACTTGTGTTCCTCTGGAAATATGAATCTTGTCCATCTGAAAAATGGCGGAACTTCCTCTGATAAACTGGATATGCTGGTACGAAGTTCGACTGCCATGGATTTGATAGTAGGAGAATAATTGAGCGTCTCAAATGCCAAGGACTCAACCCCAAGTATACCATTGAAGTATAGCTCAGAAAGTTCAATAGTTTCGGTTTGTTTTGCCACGCTCTTGCATTTAATCTAGACTTATAAAGTCTATTTCTCACAGTATTCATAGGATATTGAAAGGACTTTAGGGAGCTCTTTTGGTAGATATCAGATACAGTCATCAACGAATTTTACTTAGACACCCGAAGAATAGATCGATATATAGTCGAAGAAGTTTTTCGAGATCCTGCCTGAATTACGGTTTCCAAGATACCAGATTTTTTCACATGGTCAATGGCGCTCTAATCTTTCTTGTGTGAAAAGGTTATTCTGCTTATTTACCTAATTGAATCTTATCTCTTGCACAGCCGAAGTATCTCTGTTTATTTCTTCTCAGTTTTTTTTTCACTTTTAATATTTTACGGACACGAGCAGTTTTACCCTTATGGCCTTCCTTCAGAGTTAGGTGTCGTGTACATCATATAACTTGGTATTCACTTTGTGGTGTCCTGGAATTTCTCTGATTGTCCTGTTCCTCTCTGTCCTCAGGTCTTCACGCTCACTCGACTCACTTGTCACCTCTTCGTCCGCCATCTTCTTCCTCTGCGTCAATGTCAACCCGATCACCCTTTCCCCGCTCCCCGCGCCCTCACTCCGTCACCACACACTTCATAAAATTTTCATATGCAACACTTATGAAGTCCATAACTAAATAATAATCTTCAGGACACTTGTCCTAAAGACACATCGGATGCATTTCAACCACTTTAAGATCTCAATAGCAGACTTAAATGACAAAAATTCAAATGTTACTCAAGTGACTATTTAATTTGGAAGGTTGTTTACTGCTCTTAATCTCTTTTAGTTTTTTAAAGGCATTATGGCTTAGGCCTGGTAACATTAAGTTAGACAGAACTTTAGGTGGTACTTTTTCATTTTGAGTCACTGTATCTCAGTGTCTATTAGTTGGCTACTTTTATCAATAAACCGTACTGTCATTACCATCATCGAGAGATGAGTTCATTTAAGTCAAGCGGACGGATGAATACGAATAGTAACATATCTAAATTTTTAATTTAAATTTATAATTATTAATTATTATTACTATATTATTAATTAAAACGCTAAATAATAATAATCATGAAACAATTTAAAGTTGTACAAACAAAGTTATATCAGAACATACATGGACATGAAGAACTGTATCATAAACAATCAAAATACTACTTTCTAAGGCAGAAAAAATTACAACATGTAGGGTATAGTAATAATTCTTTATATCCGCGGCTAAAGATGAGTTCGTATTTACGAAAGACAGGTTATTATTATTCAAAGCAGAAGTACACACATAATCGCCTTAAGAAAAAAATTGCGATTATAAGCCAAAGTTGCGATTGCCGTCGGAAACGGCAAGA